AGAACCTCTGCTTTAGCCTACTTTTGCTAATTTTAGCTTTCTTCAGCCTTTTCAGCTACCATTCRGCTCCTTTCTGCCATTATTCTTCTAATTTCTGCTTTTTTGTGCTTCTTAAAACTTTTTATATTTATTTCAGGAGCTTTCTGCATTTTGGCTGCTGTTTATCCGTTTGTTTCTAAATTTAGCCTTTTAAAGCGAATTACACTTTTTTAAAATTTTAAATTTACTTTGTTTAATTAAAAACAAAACATTTAATTAACTAGAAGCACTCAGAGAGTGCAAACCTCCACCAAGACCAGTTTCCCCCATCCTGTAATAGAGTTACAAAGGGGCACACCAATACTACAGTGCCACCTGCTGGACACTTTGAAACCCACGCCCTGTGAAAGCATCACAGCTTTGCCGAAATCAGTGTTAGAAAAAAAATTCCTGTAACCACACTGTGATTGGGAACAACACCAAAATTTAATGGTATGTTACTTGGCCCAGTACACACACGTGGTAAAAATGTCATGACAATCTGTCCACAAGTTCTTGAGTAATGTTGTCCACAGACAGAACGACAGAACGACAAACAGACACACGCGACCGAAAACATTACCTCACCCTTGGCGGAGGAAAAAAACAAACTTTCAACACAACATAAATCATTAAATGAAAGGAATCAGAAAGAAGAAAACTATCTTGAAGTTTATAAAGTCTTATAAAATTGTAAGCGCCCTTTAAGCATTTTTTCTGCAAACTTCAGCTCCTTCATGCTAATTTCACAATTTTCAGCTACATTTTAGCCATTTTGATGAACATATCGGTTTTAGCTTTTGCAACTTTTTTTTTTACTTATTTTTCTGCAGATTTTAAACTTTCCTTCCATTTTCTGTGTTTTACTTTCAACAAGTTTCTGCTACTCCAGCCTACTTTAGCTAATTTGAGCTAATTTAGCTACTTGTTTTGCATGTTTCAGACTATATTCTTCTAATTTAATTGATTTCAAATTAAAAAAATCAAACAGAGCAGGTGTGTCGCCCCTCCTGTTTTTATCACCTGTAGGTTTTCTGRAGAACATGAGGCCGGGACACCGTCTTACCCCCAGCTGCTGGTTGTTCAGCTTGGTCTGCTGAATCTGGTAAAAGCAGTTTAAATAAAAAAAAAAACAGGAGGAAAATCAGTGAAAACAGCAAACGGTGGAGTTTAAGTTAAGAAAAACAACTTTTTAATTAAGCAGTTAAAGCTTCTGATGATCACTTCTCAGTCTTATTTTGAAAACATTTCTTTTCTTTACTGCCCAACAGAGTCCAGAGTTCGGGTCTCACCCTGGCTGAAGACTGAAATCTGTCCATCCACAGTGAATGCTGCGATCTGATTGGTCAGCTTAGATCGACACAGGAAGGTCACCTGATTGACAGGTGACTCTAACTGCAGCTGGAACGAGCACATGGGAGGAGGAACCACGCTCTGCCTGAAGCTCGTCACCAGGATTTTATCTGAAAACATCAACGATACGACAAATTAAAACCGGGTCGGAGGATCCGTGTCGACCGGGGGGTCTCCTCGTGCCCACCTCCGTCGATCACGGCCACGTTGGCGCCGTCGGAGCAGTCTGCCCCGGGGCTCCGCTCCGTGGTCCAGCCCCAGTCGTAGRCCAGGTAGGTCCAGTCGTGGGTCAGCGCGTGGAGCCGGAGGGGCCGCTCGGGGTCCCAGCAGACGAAGACCGGAGCTTTCTGAGGGTCTCTGCCGAAGTCCAGACTCTGTTTCAGGTACCAGTGGTAGTTCCCCACCGTCCACAGCTGGACTGCAGACAGAGCACGACCAAGTCAAACTTTAATTTATTTATTTAACACAAATATCCTTTTGATCACAGGTTTATAGTAGCTCACAGTGGTGAGCAGCRCTAATCCAAAAATTAGGTCCGCAACTTCAAAAGCGTTTATACCGTAGAAAAACTAGCGGAAGCTAATTTTAAAGCGCAAGTTGAATTTGACAGTTACTAGTTGGCAACAATTCATGTACATTATATGCACAACACTGCCGACTAGTGGTGTATGAACTCCTTTACAACTTAATCCTACAACCGCCGATTGCTGGGGATGTGATTTCCTGAAACAGACCTTTAGCTCCTGGTGTAAAAATTAAAAAGTTGTTGAGGATTGCTAGTTCG